GAGAGAATTCTGCCAAAATATCCCAACATATATATATAAGTACATACATATATATACACGATTAATCAACTGCGCTTACGCTTCACAGTTGGAGTCTATTCACACCTGCCAAGTAATGCCAAACCTAATGTTCATCGCCCTGTCCCGTCAAGCTGTTCCGTGCACATCTCAGCGGATGGTGCGTTTCGTGTTCGTTGCTTACTGTCCGCGTATCTTGCGCATCGCGCAAGTGTGCAGCAGATGGGCTGAGCAGCTGCCGTTAGGGGGGGGGGGGGAGAGATGAGGGGTATAAATCGGCTACGTATTCCGCCGTGATCTACGGTCGCCATAGGGCCGCATAATCTGAACCGGTCTCCCGGGGAATACCAGCGATGTCCCGCCGCATTCCGGCGCAAAATCGGCCGGATGTACCTTGAAGTGAGTTTAAGACTACTGACTGCTGACCTTTGTGTAAGCTTGTGGTCCGTGTCAGGGCATGTTATGTGGTCTTGTGGTCCGTGCCAGGGCATGTTGTGTGGTCTTGTGGTCCGTGTCAGGTCATGTTCTGTGGTCTTCTGGTCCGTGCCAGGGCATGTTGTGTGGTTTGGTGGTCTGTGTCAGGGCCTGTTGCGTAGCCTTGTGGTCTGTGTCAGGACCTGTCGTGTGGCTTTGTGGTCTGTGCCAGGTCCAGTTGTGCAGCCTTGTGGTCTGTACGATGCCTATCGTGGCCCTGTGGTCCGTGTCCGGGCCTGTTGTGTAGTCTTGTGGTTCGTGCCAGAGTGTGTTGTGTGACCCTGTCGCTCATGCCAGGACATTTTATGTGACCCTGTGGTTTGTATCAAGGCCTACTGTATGACCAGTTGTCCGTAATATGGCATGTTGTTTAAGCCTCTGGTAGGTGTCAGGCTATGGCATGAGACTCTGCGGTCTGTGTCAGGACCTGTTGTTTAAGCCTGCATTTTGTGGCATGACCTGTTGTGCGTCCTCGGCGTTATGGGGGCCGGTTGTGTGACTTCGTAGTTTGTGTTAGGCTTGTAGGCTTTCGTGGCTTGCTGTGTGATTCTGATTGCTTTGTGGGGGCCGATAGTGTGGTCTAGTGGTCTGTGTCAGGGGCTGTTGTGTGACGCTGTGACCTGTCTCAAGGCCCGTTATTTTTAACCTTCTGACTTGCATACGGGTTGTTGTGTGACCTTGTGGCATGTGTAAGTGACTGTCGTGAAAACATGTGGTCTGTGTTACGACCTGTTGTGTGACCTTGTGACCTTTGTCGGGACCTGTCGTATGACCCTTTGGCGCTTGATCTATGCAGACTTCAGGCGTCAGCGATGTTTAGTGTTATCTTTCCGTGTGAAGATTAGATTGATTTACATCTGGGACGGGCTCCATGCTTCCAAAAACCGTCTGGAGGTAACATGGTCATTTTATATAGCTTTTACTTGTTCTTGCTTTGATTTTTGGATTGCTCTCGAAATTCTTGGAGAGAATGCCTCTAAGCGAATACCTAAAGGCGCCAGAATTGTTTTTGCAGACGTTCCTTCAGTTAGGATGTTGGCTGCTTGTCATTTTTAGTTGCATGAGAAAGGTAACTTAAATATTCCTGCATGGCAAGAAGGATCAACAAATATAGATTGTTGCGATCGGTTCGGGATGTGAACTTTTTTTAATGATAGAACCAAAATTGCCCATTGATGGGGTCAAAATATCAAGAAAACAAATATGAACACCGGATGAAAATAGTCATCATTACATTGCTAAATCCAGGTTGGTGTATTCCATGTTGAAGAAAACAGTGCATAAATTGAATAGCACCAAACACAATGGCACATGCGGCACAGACAACATGTCTGTGGTGCATATCATTGCCTGTTTTTGTACTGGTGATTCAATATGTTACCTTGGTGCTCTATTGTGATGGGCATCTTTGCAAGCCATGAGGTGGGTAATTCCATTGACCTGGAAAAGACTGGACAAACTTCTCGACTTTACAAAACGTGCCGCCCGGCAACGTTGTAGAAAGGCAAGCGGTTTTCTGCGGCGCTAAGCAGCCATTGGAACTGCTATACGCGGGCGATTCGCGGTGCAGTATGGAGCGAAAATGACGAGAAGCTGCTCTGCGATCGGGTGTATTAAGAGGCAGGGTGATCGGTCAAGATATGGAGATAGGTTGTCATTCTACAAGTAAGTATTTTCGAGCTTGATCGTGCATAAACTGTTGATTTTGTTGCATGCGGGTCTGCACCATGACTGTCAACCTGCGCCTTTGCTGGTAATTGAGGTGGAGATATAAAGTTATCTCTTTAATTTTTTACTCAGATATGTTGTGTGCTTTCCTGCTATTATCTAGGCATTTTATCACAACTGAATCCAGCTGCATCCACCTGTAGGACAATAAATATCCATGTTGGCAAGTGGGAAGGTGGAATGCAGAACATGTAAGAACCAGAAGGAAAATACCTTTCAAGGATGGGCGATGTCAATGTTTATCACTTCTGAAAGGCAGTTGTGTGCTATTCAACACTGATGGGGTGCTGGTACGGCATTGATATTCCATTTGCTTCCTCTGAAGTGGAAAACAGCATATGCGTATGCTATTTGCCTGGTTAATAGAGCTCATGAAACAAGACTAAGCTGGCCAAGACAAGACGTAAACTAGACAGTGAAAACCACTCCTTGTCATCTGATTTTAGGATAATGACTGAGTCAAACGAGTGTCTTGAAATGGCTGGATGTTTTAGCTCTTTGCACTTCAAGAAATCTTTGCAACAGGGTTAAAACTGTACCAAATGCAACATTTTGTAATCCAGTTCAAGCTCAGCTAATAACTGAATTTGTGTATCCTTTGTAGAGCCCAGAACTTAGGCTTTGATTTAAATCCTGACAGTAAAAACAACTATGTACAAAACACCTTAAAAAAATTGTTATTGCTGGCTTGGGCTTTGCACACTGCTTGCCGCACCACAGATTTAGTGAATTGACTGATTGACAGGTATGCGACAAAATGCTTTTTATTGTCATCATATTGTATACAGATCTAAACGAGGGTGCTGGAGGCGTTCACAAATATCCTATGCATCTGCTGATAACAAAATGATATAACTTTCATATTAGATCCTGTTGACTGAGCCTGTGCTGGGAAGTGAGGGGCCCACACCGGCGATGCTCGAATTTCAACTTTCCAGACATTGCCTAAAGGTGAAAATTCACATGGAACTTGTTATCAAGTTGCCTTGCTATTGTCTGAAGGGAATATACAATGCAATTCCAGCTTGCAGCGCACTTAAAACCACAAATTTTCTTTGGAGCACAAAGACACAACCAGACATAACCCCATCTAAGGGACATGTACTGTGTCATGAAACATGAATGGCACCTAACTACCTCTCCAACTCATAAGACACCTGCAAGTTATGATGGTGCCATGGTGATAATTGTGGAAAAAACAGAAATGTGGCAAATTGTGGTATGGCGACAATTGGGATGCATGATATGTATTTGTTACATAATGCAGGGCAGCGTTCAGATCATTAAGGTGGCATGGTCATAATGTGCATCACAGCTCTGCTGGATGTAATGCTTGCAAAATGTGGACCAGATGGAATCAGACTGAGGTGAAAAATGCTGTGGAAGGTGCATGAGGTGCATTTTGAAGATGCATTTTTTGTTTCTGTTCCAGGTGCCCTCAACATGACCCGAACCTGCTGAGGAAGTGGATCACTGCTACAAGACGTCAGGGGGAAAAGCAAAGGACATGGAATCCCTCTCAGAGTGCACTTCTATGCAGTGACCACTTCATGGATGCTGATTTTGAACCATACCGTGAACGCAGAATGCTGCGTGAGGGAAGTATCTCATCATGGTTCATGTTCCCCGAGCAGACAAAACCAGTGGCACGCAAAAATCCCCAAAAGCGTGTTGGCCCATGCACAACTCCGCCCAAGCCAAAGCATGTCAGGCGCCTGCTTCTCGGGCAGCCACACCAGCCCGCTCCAGAGGAGGCACGGGTGTAGCCTGCCCCAGAGGAGGTGTTGCTGCAGTCTGCTCCAGAGGAGGCATTGCTACAGCCTGCCTCAAAGCTGCAACAGCTTCAGCCTGCACCAGAGCAGCAACTGCTACAGCACACGCCAGTGAAGCTTCAACATCACCCAGGTGGCCCAGAGCATAGCTATAGCGCAATTTGTAACAACTCGACACATTTCAAGTCTGAGTGCCCTCAAAGAAAGCCGGATCGTCGATGCCGGGCTTCTCGAGGTGATCCGATCTCGATTTGAAAACCCAATGGTGTCAGCGCTTTTCACCAACGAAGTTGTCAATGGTGGCAGGAGGAAGCGAAGTGGCCAGAGGTATTCAGAAAAAAAAACTCTGCCTCACCTTCCACTACTATTCTCCGAGAGCATGTAGGTTCCCCTCAAAGAACTTCTCCCTGCGGGGTGCAACATCGTTACGAGAGTGGACGAGAAGCGTCAGCTGTGAGGTGGGCGTCCTCCACGAGGTGCGACAGACACTGTGCTGTGGAGTGACAACCAACAAAATTGACCCTAACTGCTGTTTGATGGTCGATGAGATGGCGATACGGAAGGCGAAGGTGTACTCGCAACCCAAAGATAAGTTCGTTGGTCATGTTGATCTGGGTGCAGGGACGTGGAAGACACGAGATTGGCAAAAAAATGCCCTAGTGTTCATGGCCGTTGGTCTCAAAGTGTGTGGCGCCACCCTGCCGCCTACTTTCTCACAGACCACATTTCAAGAGACTCGGACAGAACTGGCCAAGACTGTCCTGTGTGCTTTGGGCGACGCAGAACTGAAGGTGCGATCGTTCTTGGCCGATGGACTCCAAGCCAACCTGTCCATGTGCGGCCACTTGGGCGTTCAGAACCTGCAGCCAAAACAACTTCAGCTTCCCATTGTTTCTAACTACTTCCTGCATCCTGCAACCAATCAGAAGGTGTATGTTCTGCAGGATGTGGCGCACATGCTGAAACTGCTACGAAACCTCCTTGGTGAATACAAGAGCCTTCAACTGGATGGTGAAGAGGTATCCTGGGGGTATATTCAAGTAAGAGTATGCCAAATTTAGTAGTAATAGTAACAATAAACAATCTAATAGTAATTCAGTCCCAGAAAAACCGAGTATAATGCTAAAAGACTACATTTTACTTAAGTGTCACTCTGTTTTTCTGCATACATCTATCCCATCATCTGTGTAGTTCACGTCTAGATGCATGGGTAGAGACTTGAGAGACTTAACTTAATCTGAGAGCACGGCGATACTCTTACACTAATGGCTGAACCTGTTCAGCTCGTTTTCAGTATTCTACAGCCAAGGTAAAATAACGATTGTAGACACGTTCACAGGCGCTGTACGACCTCCAACACAGCGAGGGTATCCGGGCGGCCAACAAGCTCTCTCGCCTGCACGTCCAGTACGAAAAGAACAAAAGGAAAGTTAAGCTTGCTGCCCAGCTGTTCAGCAGCTCGGTGGGCAAAGCTCTGCTGTACCTAGAAGAGTCGGGCCACCATGAGTTCATCGGAGTGGGGGCAACGGGGCGCCTCATCCTGCTTGTTGATCAGGCATTCGACTACCTCAACAGCAGCAACCCCTACGTGAAGGTCTTCAAGACTCCTGTAGCTGCCAACAACTTAATGTGAGTTGAATTAATTAGCATTAAGAACAACCTGATAAGTCCAAAGTGTGTGTTTTCTTTCCGCTAAGGAAATATATCAGGATGGTCAAATACCAGCTATCACATACACAGCATCAACAAGCATGCTAGTGAAACGTTCTTTGAAAATGGCGTTGGCATATGGCGTGATGTGCTGTCGTGTTTGATCGCCCGTTACCCCCATAGGCAGATCAAGCGATAGGAGCAAAATGTCCCAAAGTGAAATGTGGGGCAAAAGTGTGCATTTTCTCCCTGCAGCTGGCCACTTATGTCACATACTCCCCGACCCCCATCCCATCCCCCCTTCCAATCACCAGACAAAATTGACCATTCAGGTATGTATGGTCAATCCCCAACCCGGTCGCCGATCAAGAACGCGTGAACTGCCCGCTCCCCCACAAACAAAATGTAACGACTGGGCGACCTCTGGTTAACAGCAATTCATTTGAACATTATGTTGTGAGGGCGGTTTGTAGCCGAACAATTGCCTTAGTAAAGGCTATAGATGTCGCTGTTATTCCTTATTCCTAGGCTACGACGTGAGTTTCTGGCCGACTTCAGTTCCGTGCTGTTCCGGCTGCAGACAGCATCAGGCGAACCGGTACTGCAGACGCGACGCTTCACCCCGGTCCTGGGTCTCTGTCTCGCGACGCAGACCGTCATAGACGTCAGTGAGGCCCTGCTGAAGGAGGGGTTCGTCTGTGTACTGCCATACAAGATGTCCCAAGACCATCTAGAGCTGCTGTCCGGCCAGATCCGACGTGTGGGCGGCTTCAACAACAACCCGAACGTGGCCCAACTGCAACATGCCATGCGCAGACTCATACTACACAGCTTCATATCGCCATCTGCCACCGGGAGCTGCATGTCACGGGATGACGGTGACGACGGCCTGCTCCAGATCCGTCCAAAACGGCAGCGGCAGACGCTCAGCGAGAGTGACCCCATGCCGGCGGTCGTGCAGCATCTCATCACGACGGAGGACACCGGCTCGGGGTTCGTTGACAACTGTGTTGGCTACATCTCCGGCTATGTGTGCCGCAAGCTGGTGGAAACGAGCGCGATCGGGTGTGGTGAGTGCATTGGTGCACTTCTGTGCAACAAGGATGGTCCTCCGTCGCATGAAGTGATGGGTCTCGTAAAAGTGCGGGACGACGGCGGACTGCTCATCCCGTCGGCGTCGGCGTACGCGATCGTCACGGCAGCTGGGCGGCATTTGACCGCTTTGCATAAGTGTGGTAGGATGGACCGAGCTAAACTGTTACTGAGTATCAAGTGCGGTGTCCTGGCATTGTTAATGACTGAACGCAGCCACGAACTGTTCCCTGGTGTGCAAGACCACATGTTCGAGCCGCGAGCGGATGAGTGCCATGCTGTGGTAATGGTAAAACAGATCGTGGCCAGGTATCTGCGTGTCCGCCTCCATGCCTATGGAAAAAATGCTACAGTGAGTGGAATGTTCCGTACCCATGTGAGGCACAAACTGTACAAGCAGGTGCTCTTTGCGCACCAGTAGTCAAATACATCAGTAGATATCTGTGCTGGTGACCGCAAGTAGATTTACTAGTTACATTGTTTTGGGGCTGTAAGGTGCGTGGACATGCAAGTCCTGTGCATTAGCATCGTTAGTAGTACGGTGTACATACTCTGAACAAAATGATATACTACGCGTAGTTTTGGGGCTGTAATGTGTGTCGGCGTGTAAGTCCTGTGTATCGACGTTGTCAATAGTACGGCGTACATATTCTGAATAGCCTGGTATACTATGCGCGTATCTCGGTGCCTACACAGCTCGCAGGAGTACCGAGCCGTTGGTGCTGGACATAGCTCATATTCCTGTAACGCACCAAATCGAGGCATGAGCTCTGGTCTTATCTGAGTGTGGATGAGGACGGACCTATTCTCTCACGCAGGTGAGCAGCATGCATGCAGTGCATACAAAGGGATAACCATAGCCTGAACTCCAGCAGCCCACCGGAGCAGTTACTTCGCCCATAAACAACGACGTAAGAATGTCCTCAGTCTCCCAACAGGCTGATGCAAATGATGACATTGGCGTCAGTCGAAGTGCCGCCTGCGAAAAGATTCGCGCTTTCCAACGATTTTGGGTCGTCGATCCGACCTGGAAGGACCCAACTGTCGAATACATTTAAAGATGGATACAGTTGGCTAACATTCATGACAGTTATCTTGCTTGGCTTTGCTTCTGACTATTTCAAGCCGAAGCCGCAAGCCAGGAGAGGGTGATACGACTCGCCCGGCCCCTGTGCTCGCTGGAATGCTGCAAAGGACCACATCCGGATGAGGGTTAAGAACAATTGTTTCCAAAGTTATCGCTATGGAATATTTTCTGTCTTAGAAGGACCATCTGTTTTCTTCTGAGACCAGATTCTACCCTGCCTTCCCCACTTCCCCCCCCCCCCCCCCCACTTGTGCTACGACGCAAAATCGCAAAATCAGTATGCCTAGATCAGTCTGTCAAGCCGCTACCCATGCCCTCGGAGCAAACTTTGCTGAGCCGTATTGCGTAAAATTGATGTCTTAAACAGCCCCAGAATTTTTAAGGCCCTCGCTCCCATCACTTCCAACTCACACGCCTGCAAAGTTCGGCCATCCGCCGCGGGATTATCATTGCGAAGCTAACTCTTGCCCCTCTCCGCGTGGTGGCGCTAGTGTCACAGGACGGGAACAACCGGCCGGTCGCCGCGCCGATGGGAGTAGACTGTCTAGATTTTTATAGGCCAGTGGGTAATTCAACTGTTGTTATAATTAATAATTTGTTATGAATTTTGAGCCAAGATTGCTTTTATCATGAAACAGCTCTTGGGCTGTTCCTATGTTATGATCTTTGGACTGTGGAAACACAGCTGTTTGTTTCACCTAGCCACCAGTCCATATCAGCCCAATGCTGTTAACTGCAAGGATGTCAAAGCAGTATTTCAACCCTAGTACGTCAAGAAAGCAAGTAACTGCACTCTGACTTGTCAGTCCATGCCAAGTCTGAATGGTGATACTGCCCACAGGTACTGATGCTGCGTTTTATGGGGAATACCACACAATTGCACAATTTTTCCCTCTATGTAGCATTCATGAGTCATTTATGTAGCTTAGCTCACTGTCTGCAAGCTGCCCATAAATGCATTAGTTGGGGGGGGGGGGGGGTAGGTAATGTGTTTCTTGGGCTGCGCAAAGCAGATGACATGATGCTGGCTGGCCCATCTGATTAGAGTCTGGTTAGCTTGTGAGTGTCATTGGCCAATACAAGAAAATACTGATTTCCTGCCAGCCATTGCATGACAGCAAATATTCAGGTGTCACAGGCTCCAGGCGTATTTTAAATGTCATCCTAAATAATGTCAGCTAGAACAGCAAGCCAGAATCCACATTGCAGAATGGGAAGCAGTAGCTTTGCTTGCACTTTTTGGAGCTATTGTCATGTATGGACGGTCTAGCCATGTTGCTTTACATCATCTCAGCCATTGCCATGAAGCAGCTTAGTTTTATTTACCAGTTCACTTCCTTGTCATTCTTGATTAAATACGTGCGACCAAAGAAACTGTTTCTAGCATAAATATATGCTGGAATGCCTGTAAATCAGTTCTTCCTGTTTTGCGCCAATTTCTGTGATCGTGCTCCTTGCAATGCACAATGTTCACATGTCTCGGTCCACTAGCAAACATTTTTCATATACCACTACCTATCGGACAGATTTCGCAGTGCTGACTATGCAGCTTTTGTGTTTCAAATGTTATGGCTTGTGCTGTGGCTATAAAGCCTGAGTCCCATATAGATCGTTTTTCCAACGGAGTCCATCTTCCTCCTCGCTCTCAAAGCCGTCTCGCGTCCAGCATGACTGGTGACATTCGCCATCCATACGCAGGGTACTGGCACTTTTTTCAGTTCATCTCAAAAGCGCAGTTTTCGCCCATAACCCGTTCCTTGATTCGAGCTAAGTGGGATCGAACTATCGACCATTAATCCGACGTAAAGCCTCTTTCGCCCATGTAAACGCACCTCGGCGAGAGGTTTAACGTCGCATGATCCGTTCCGATCTTAATTCGAATTACCCTCGGCTGCCCATGTAAACCGGGTACATGTCAGCGGGCCTAAATAAACCCTGATTAAATAGCATGGGACAGTTATCATGCATTATTACCGATACCACCACCGCGTCACCCGCCACCCAACCACATCGTTGTCCGACCGCCGTCGCTAGGGCAGGTCCCTCGCGAAGTCCCTGCCGTACAGCTGCGCCGTCATCAGCGCGTCGGTATTGTCGACGGACAGGTGGCGCGTCGAACGGTCAAAGTCCCAGTCGGCGGCCAAGTGCATGTGCGTCCTAACGGCTGACGGGTACACGATCGTGTCCCCTCCGAACGTGCCGGAGAGCGTGAACGGCGGAATCAGCGGCATCGGCCCTGTCGGAAACCAGCTGCACGAGGCCGGGCTGGGGCTGGCGCAGAGCGTCACCATGCAGATCTCCGTGCTCCAATGTGGCGTGGCGTCGCGCCGGCCGTCGTACGCGAGCAGGCGGTAGGTGGCAGGCGCGCCGTCGGCGGCGGCGGCGGGCGACGTGCCACGCACGCTGATGCGGCAGCAGAGCTGGCCGTGGCACAGCTCCTGCTCCCGCCCCGTCAGCTCGGCGCTGGCGAACTCTGACATGTTGTAGTGAAGCAACGGGTAGTACGCGACGCTGCCGCCGCCTCCGCCGGCTGAGCGGAAGCCGGCCGGTGGCTGGGCCGGTGGCTGGGCCGGCGACTGGGCCGGCGGCTGGGCCGACGGCTGGGCCGGCCCGTCAACCGACACCCGCGCCGTCAATAGGGCGCCGGCCTCGTTGGCGTAGTCGTACGTGTAGTTGAGCGCGCCGGCGGCCGTGTAGATGCCGGAGCCGACGCTGGCCGTCCTGTGGACGTGGAGCCCAGCCGAGAGCAGCGTCACGCCCAGGCCGCGCGCATACGCGCTGTGCATCTGCAACGCTGCGGCAGACGCCGACGGTCAGTTCGGTGGGACTGAAGGGCGTCCACTGGACCAGCGCTGCGGCAGACGCCGACGGTCAGTTCGGTGGGATTGAAGGGCGTCCACTGGACCAGCGCTGCGGCAGACGCCGACGGTCAGTTCGGTGGGATTGAAGGGCGTCTACTGGACCAGCGCTGCGGCAGACGCCGACGGTCAGTTCGGTGGGATTGAAGGGCAGCGCTGCGACAGACGCCGACGGCCAGTTCGGTGGGATTGAAGGGCAGCGCTGCGGCAGACGCCGACGGTCAGTTCGGTGGGATTGAAGGGCAGCGCTGCGGCAGGCGCCGACGGTCAGTTCGGTGGGATTGAAGGGCAGCGCTGCGGCAGGCGCTAACGGTCAGTTCGGCGGGACTGAAGGGCGTTCACTGGGCCAGCGCTGCGGCAGACGCCGACGGTCAGTTCGGTGGGACTGAAGGGCGTTCACTGGCTAGGCTAGTCAGTGTGGTGCTAGGCCACTAGTGTGGCGCGCAATTCTCATTGTTCACTTTTCATGAAGTTCATTCACGGCTCGAAGCGGTTTTCTGCATTGTTCATGAGGCGCGTCTTTTCTATGTAATTTCGCTAGCTGTGGAAGATATCGCTGTGCTGTTACGTTCTGGGTTTAGGTAACGCTCATCTGATGCGGGGACCTTTCACAGCTGGAGTAAGAAGGCACAGGTGTTGTTCGCTGCCGGAACAAACATACAACAAGGCGGTCGGGAATTTGGGGGCTGAAGATCCAAATATTTACGACAAAAATATCTCAAAATGGTTCATTTGCGGGAGTAACACGATTGACTGAGATCAGCGCCATACAACTTTTTTGATCACCAAAAATCCTGGATGAATGATTCGTTTGACCACCAAAAATCCTGAATGAATAATTCATTTGACCATCAAAAATCCTGAATGCGGACCGATAAACTGAACTCGTAACGCTACGACAGTCCTGCGGACTCGGCCTCGCGTGCTGATAAGCTGAATTCACAGTGCTACGACAGTCCTGTAGACTCGGCCTCGCGCACCACATCAGGCCAACTCAGCGCGGGCAGCTCGTTAGACGGACCGGTCCGTCTGACCCTCAGACTGACCTGTCAGCGAAGGCAGCTCATCGTGCCAGTCGGTGGGGAACACGACATGCGAAATGCCGCGCCGCGTCAACTCCACGGCCGGCACTTCGAACAGGATATCGAAGCAGGTCATCAGGCCGAACACAACGCCGAAGTCGGTGCGGAAGGCGGCCAGGTGCGGCTTCGGTGTCTGCAGCACCTCCCGCTCGACTATATACGGGTGCACCTTGTTATACCTGCGGCGGGGCACGGAAGTCAGCCCATGGGCCCGCGAGCCGCCGCGGGCTCGGTGCGAGCGGTTCGAGACCACTGCGCGCGCGGAGAGGCACACTGTCCGACTGGTGTGCTGGCGCCCTTGATCAGACCCTCAGGAGCACTATTTGACAAAGCACAACAGAATGCGTCTACGCGTGACTCATAACGCAGGAGAAGGCTGTCCGGGCGCGACTGACCACACCATTGGGCTTAGCTTGAGGCACAAAAATATTTGAACAAAAGAAAAGCAGCGAGGACGAAAATATTTAATGTAATATAATATAATAATATAATATGTAATAATAAATATAATAATGAATAAAATAACAAAATAAATAAAAAATTTACAACCGACATAAAGAACACAACACTTCATATACCGAAGAATATGGCTAAAAACGGCATACTTTTGTATCATTGTTCCCTTCCTGTCAAACACCAGGTTGGTGTTGAACAAATAGAAGCCATCCGCCGGGCAGTCTGCGTCAGAAGCTTGGCTGCAGGGCACCTTCTCCACGTAGTTCGCCACGATGTACATCTGGTGAGCCTTAGCGAGGCAGCTCAGGCCAGACACAACCTAGCCGATCACATCTTTATCAGTGCGGTGAAGTAAGCGACTTTGTCTCACATGACAAGTGAATGGGAGGGATAGGAAGAACCACGTGCGTCTAACGTAACGACGATCAAAGCATTGCTACGAGCTATTCATTTCACCCTTTCATTGCGATTTTTATTCACTAAGCCGTGCCGAAAATTACCACATATTTGCACATGCAAATCAACACCCTGACTACCTACCCATGATTAGTATTCCTCAAAACACCCCCAACCTGACTAACACACCGTCTTCCGTGTGCATCGTTCAGTTTGCTGTCTGTTGTCTCGTGGGAGCAGGCCGGCTGCCGCAGACAGCTGGTCGGAGCGAGCTCACCTCGTGCCGCGACGCCTCGCCGCAGGGCACCGCCATCTCGTCAGCAGAAGGCATCTCCGCGGCGAACAGAGCCAGCGTTTCGCGGGTCGCAAACGGCCCGTTGCTCATGATGCCGTGCTCAGCCAGCACTAGCAGGTCGGCACCCTGGATAAGGTCGCAGGTTAGCGCTGAAGGTCAGGCGCTGGATAAGATCATGGGGTGAAGTCGCGCGGAGGTACCCGGGCCGCGGTCGACAGCAGCGGCTGCAGTGTTTGGAGCCGAATTTTTCTTGGCATGGGGAAGTCCCAGATCAGGTCGAGACCAGCACAGTGCTTGGGGCGGCACTTCCTGGCATTAATGCTTACCAGATGGCATTAAAACGAGGTCGGAGGCTGGTGTCAGCACTTGGTTCAGGCCAAAGCGGGGTCGGGTCGGGCCTCTGACGAGGACACCTCGTGCTCGTCGGGCCCCTATCACCATGGGCCTTAACGCAAAGCGCCCGAGATGAGTTCAGGTAGAGCAGTGCTGCCACCAGGCTGGAGGACTCGCTGCGCTCGGCCCGCCCACGCGGGAGCCGACGGGCAGCAGGGACTTCACGGACGATGCCGAGAGCTCCGCCCTTGCCTGAGCGAAAGCCTGGACAGCGCCGCCCTCACCTGAGCGGAGGCCTCCCTCGCCTGCCGTCCTCAGCTGAGCGGAGGCCTCTTTCGCCTGCCGTCCTCACCTGAGCGGAGGCCTCCTCCGACTTCCGCCCTTACCTGAGCGGAGGCCTCCGCCTGGCGCCCTCACCTGAGCGGAGGCCTCCTCCACCTGCCGCCCTCACCTGAGCGGAGGCCTCCTCCGCCCGCCCGCCGCACCGTTCTTCATGTTCTGCCGCCAGGGAGCGCCCCTGGCGGGGGTCCCAGTCGGGCAGGGCGATCTCGCACACCCGCGGCGAGTACGGTCGCGGCGGCATCGGCGCCAGTCCCAACGGCCCGCACGTCCAGTGCCAGCTCTGACGGTTCCCGCCGCCGCCGCCGCGGCCAGCGCCGCCAGCCCCACCGCCAGCTCCAGCAGCATGAGTGTCTAAGGCGCGGAACGCTCTGATCAAGCCCCAAGCGGGGTTGGTCGGTACGGGGTCTAGAAGCTTCTGTAGGTATTTTGTGCTCGATGTAGGGCTGAATCTCGGGAAGATGTTTATACTGGGCTTTTTTCATGTATTGAAAACAATTCTGATTCGGAAAGCAGATTTCGACTTTAACACAAACACGGGCGAACAGAAGCCTACCTATTGTTTAATTCTTCTTCGGTCGGTATTGCACCGAAGACACCGTCATGCACTGAAGAAGCGTCATGACTGAAAGTGTCACCACCCACATAGCCAACTTCCACATAGCCCATGTTAAATCCAAACCTTTGGGGAATCGGACAAGAGAAACTTTCTGGCGAAACATAAGATGAATAAATTGGTTGGCTGTGTTCGAGCTTCCTGCCACCGCTCGACTCAGCACGATTTGTCGATGCAAACCGATTTCTGTGTTCAGTGCAGTTCTGTGGACCGCATCCAGCATCGCTCAGGGAGTGCAGTTCTGTAGGCCCATACGGGCCTCGGTCGGGCAGTACAGATTTCTGTGGGGCACCATA